CGGAACCTACGGGTCGTTCAAGTGGGTTAACATTTCTGTAATGAGCCGCCAAAGAACTGTCGCTGCGAAGCGGCGTGAATGCAGGCGAGAGGAGGGTTAACGCGCACCCCAGTGTTACACGGGTGACGAAATGTCCCTACAGCGTGCGATTCGCGTGACGAGTGTCGATGAAACGATCGTGTCGACGAAACCTGTGTACCGTGAAAGTCGTCCACGAAACGAGTTTCGACGAAATGACGGGGACCCGTTTATGGTCGCCTAAAAAGCGGAAAACGCACACACAAGGACAAAGGACGGTGGACGACATACGACCCTGTATCAACCTCCTTCCTTCGTCCTTGTGTGTGCTTTCGGCGCTTTCCTAAGTGAACTCAGTATACATGCCTTAAATGTGACGTCACATGGCACCGTAGCAGCCGTCACTGCTCCGTACCATGCTCCTGAGCCCTTACCTTCTGCACCACACATCTCGCAAAATCGAATTTGTTCTTCTTGGGAAGCCTTGTGGAGAAAAGCAGGTTCGATGGTGCCAAATGTTTGCTGCAAAAGGTACGGGCACACGAACATGGAATGGAGCAACGGCGGCTGACGTGACGTCAATGCAGGCCATGCCTAGTATTTAACGAAAATCACTTTCCCGGCTCCTTGGCATCATCTGCTGGTTTCCTCGAATACCGATACGCGATGTGCTGTTATTTTAGTTTCAACACTCCATATCGTTCCATAAAGAAAAGAAGAAACAAAACCCTTAAAAACTTGTGTTCGAGGGAAACGATTCAGGTGACCCTTCTGTCCCGCCTGCGATTAAGTTCTTCAGGACGACACACGGCTTTGCGCATACCGCGTTTTGTTTTGTTTAATCGCGCTTGTTTTTTTTTTTTTGTTTTCTTTTTTTTGTTTTTTCTTTTTTTAGGTTTAAAGTTTGTCAGTGCTGAGGTTGCGGAAAGCCAAACTAAACGGATTGTTCGTCGCCCTGATAATCCTTCCCTTCTTGCGGGGAGTTGACGAGGAAAAGGAACGTGAGGCTCGTAAATGCACTTTCTGCACTTCCATGCTCCATACATTAGGAACTTGGCGTGTTTATTATGAGCTCTAGTTCTAGCCGCAGTCAAATGGTCGTTTCATGGTCACCTTAAAATGAAGCGAGGAATATATCACATACGCGCGATCTCTCGGCCAATCAAACCGTTGCCAAAACCACGAACTCGGACTAATGCGTGTTTCACATGCAGCGGTTTTGGCCCTAGAGCGGCACGATTTCTGCCGTCGCGGCGCTCTGGCCAACCACAGCGGTTGAGCGGCACGAGCGCCGCGACGGCAGAAATCGCGCCGCTCTAGGGCCAAAATCGCTGCATGTGAAACACGTTTAAGACGTTCTGTGGCGCTGCGTTCTAACACGAAACAAAGTATTCGCGACTCCAGCAAAACGGACGTCGCCAAGCGGGAAAACCGGGAACCAGCCGGTCCAGGTCGCTCCGCGCTTCTCCGCGTCTCTGGTGGCTTTCGCGGACACGTGTTGTCGGCGCGGTGGCGAACATTGTAATTTAACAAAGGTCCGAAAATTTCTTAAGTTTGCCTGAGTGTTCATTAGTGTGGTGAAGCCTCAATAGATTGCTTCCTTCCATCACGTGTTTGAAAGCCCGTTTACTCCACAACACACGGTCGCGTGCTTTCAATTTCTTGAATGGGGAAGAATCAAGGAAAAACGTTTTGATTTCTTGTCTGTCTCGAATCGCATTCAAAGTGACGACTACTTGGTAACTGATAAGTGTCTTTTTTTATAAGGATGCAGAACAGTGGACTATGGACGACAGACGAGGTGTTTCACTGGAAGGAACACCAATGTTGCAGTCAAGTGAATGGGGAGGTTCGATAGCTGCTTTTCTTGAGTTTGGTTGTGCTCGATTAGCTTCAAGTTTGAGCCACCCACGCCGGCCGGTGCGTTGGCTATTCATTTTGGCTGCTTTTCGCCGAAAAAGCCTCTGGACCCCACTGAAGGAGTTGGGCTAATTTCGCAATTACTTGATTCAGGAAAACCTGCTCGCTGCCTATGATTAATGAGGGAAATTATCTGCTTTCAATAGGTGGGGGACGCGTCTCGCAAAGTTAGAAGCTGCCACGGCATTAGGATCTACCGCGCCTCCAATATTTGTATCATACCCCCGTCGAAGCCAGCAGCAATATACGTCAACATTGCTCAGGTTGACCGGCCACAAAAAATACTCATTTTATCCATTCACGATTCGAAGTCAAGTTAAATGCAGAGAGGTTCTGAGTGAATCTCCGATGAAGACTCTCTTCAATTTGTCCGCATTCGTCTCCGTGCTACCGGCTAGAACCATTTGGCTAAGTTTAAGCATAGTACCTCTCTGTCTGTCAAATGTACTTTTATTCAGCAGGTCACCTGATAGCTAGTCAACTAGGTTCATATTTCAGCCCGAAGAATATACTAATATCGCTTTAGTGGGACCATAGTACGTAATATAATACATAACCGCATATTCATCAAAATGACTTCTCGATTGCTACTAAAACCTGAATTGAAATACGAGTATCAGCTGCTTAGTGAAGCGCCAGCGGGTTACCATGCTCCTTGGCTCAAGAAGCGCTTGCTTAATTTTCGCAATTTTCCTGCAGCCTGTGTTGTTGACCGAGCAGACGACTGGAGCTGTTTCTGAAACGCGGATACGCACAAAAGCTCGATTTTTCGGACAGATAAGTCGCATGGTCGAGGCATGCGAGTTAGCTAAAAATTACTCTCGGTGGAACAATTCTGTAGCCATCGCTGCTTTCCATGATCAAAATTAATTAGAGTCTATTACCGTTTCTCCGGAGCCCATAGTTTCGGTTTTGAACGAAGTCTCCGGAACGAAAGTTTGACATGAAAAGAACAAAAAAACACCGGCAAAACAAAACTATGCTCGGCAAGTTTATGCGCACGGGCTACATTTAACCGGCTCAGTTCAAATGCCTATAAAATTGGGCATTAAACAAAAGAAAATTTGTTAAACCGAATGCGCCACCCGTTCAGGCGGCCCGGCCGAGCCAACGCGACCTGAACCCAGCCGCCATGTTCGTTTGGTGGTGGCGCCCCCTATAGGTCGCTGGAGTCGCGAATAGGCTACAGGCTCGCAAGAGTATGTTTGAGATGACTGCGCTAATTACCGTTCCCTTAAGGATCGGCATTACTGGTGAAAAAAACGCATGCGAGTATTCCACCTCTATACGTGCGTCTCCTGGCTGGATGTGTACAACTTATAGGCCTCAACATGGAACAGCATGTGAAGTACGTGCACTCAACCCGTTGCAAATTATCATTCGGTCATTCCAAAGTCGAACCTTTATACTATTAGACCTCTGTGTTTCCCAAAGCTGGTTCAGCGATTTTCTAACGTAGCAGCTCGGGCGAGTTGGTTGCACATATTAACACCCACTACAGCGCACACTGCAAACGTACACTCACACCGTACACTCACTCCTTAGTCTTACACACGAAAAAGAAAAGAAAAAAAGCACGGTTCGTCTGAATTTTTCCTTTCTTTTTCGTGTGTAAGGAGTGAGTGTACGTTTGCAGTGCGCGCTGTAGTGGGTGTTAACAGAGATTTGCGTCAGCTGGAAGCGAAGAATACCAAGGCGACTGCAGCAGCCGCATCTCACATATTTCATATGCAGCGTGGCAACCAAAACAAGGAGTTTAGATGGGTTGGTCACGTCGCTTCCGACCGACCAATCATATATGAAGAATATTACGAACGATAGCCTGTTCGACACGCGAACACTTCCCGCAACACTGCTCGCATTAATTACCAGGAGACGCACGGCGCGCACTTTTCCTGCTGACACGGCGTTCGTTGATTTCGATCGCTTCTGGCTGCTGCGAACGGAAACGGTGCAAATCTTTTACCCAATCCTTTAAACGCAAGAACAACAAAGAGAGAGTCGCCGTCTCTGCGCATGCATCGTGTCGGGGGTATCGGTGGTATCAGAAGGATCTACTAAAACTTTGCATTGTTGCGCAAACACGCAATCACGTGTACACTCTAAAAAAAGTATGTGCGCCTACTTTCACGCACAACACACCGAGAGCAAATCAGCGCAACTTACGGAGGTAGCTCAGCGAATGACGATCCCGAAACATATGTTTAGACCAAAAACCGCAGTCTGAGTTGTGACATTAAGCAATGCAAAGCGTCACGCGTGCATTCCTTAATGTCATAACACAGTCTGCGTTTTTTGGTCCAAACAGATGTTTCGGGCATCGTCATTCGCTGAGCTGCCTCCGTACGTTGCGCTGATTGGTTCTCCCAGTGTTGTGTGTGAAAGTAGTCGCACAGACTTTTTTAAGGGTGTAGAAAACGTTGTCGAGAAAGAAATAAATAAAACAAGGCCATAAGACAGTTTAGTACGTCGTTTCAGCCTCCATACTTTTCCAATGATTGCAAAGTGTTTTGCAGTACGCAGTTGTCAGTACTTCTACACTATTGAGAAATTACGTTACCTCACAAAAGGAGACGCAACTAATCTCTCTTCGTAGTCTGTCATTGAGCAGGCTCGCTAATCTCTTCGTTAATTTATACTCATCGTAACCTTCACGAGCAGTTGTAATTGGAGGAAACTATCTCGGCCCTCCATTGGCTGTGAGTGAGGCGTGCAGATATATACCTTTTGCAAAAGTGCGTGGAGTAGCAGCTCCGACGATTATCCGAGGCCGCCATAATTTGAACCTGCACTTTGAGCGTGCATCGGGCACGAGCGCTGCGTCAGCGTTTGGCGCGTACTCGGGTCCGAATGCATTCGACACGAGTGCCGCCACAGCGCTCGCCGTGAACTCGGATCCAACCAGACGCTTCGGGCAGGACGCGGTGCCCGTAATATGGCGGCCGCCACTGAAGCCTGATGGACTTATAAAAAACAAAAACAAAGAGGCTCTGTACTATCTTCGGAGAATGAACCCGCGCTGCGAGACCGCGTCTCTCATAAAGAACCCCGTAGACACTCACCGGAGTGCACTCACAGCGCACGCAGTAGAGCACGCCGAACGGAGGACCCAGGTCCGGCCGCCATCTTTCTTCCAGCTCGTAGGTGAGGTTCCCGAACTGGCAATCTGAAACAGAAGCCGTCAAACTAATGAGCCTTCAGTTGGCTCGCCATAAGTAAATGAGCTATGCGATCACGTAACAGAACGGGCTATACTTGGTTTCAGCTTAGGTCCGAGCACGGCCGATCTTATGAGCCAAAGGGGCAATCAAACAGCGAAAGAGGCACAATGTCATGGCGTGGTCTCTGTAGTTGATAGGACCAGACGGTATTCGCCGTGTTTCTGTGCGTGCTCCTCTGCCGGCTAGTCCTATCAAGCGCAGAGAGCACGCCATAACGCTGCGCTTTTTGCGCTGTTTGATTGGCCCTTCGGATCATGACATCGGCCGCGCTCGGACATAAGGTGAAACGAAGTATAGAACACCCGGCATGTTTCTTTTTCTAAAGGCCATGCCGAACCAATACCACCCGAAAGACCAGGCCTGCTCGTGACGTCATCGTTTGTGGATCTCCGATCCGCCCCTGGTGGCAAACACTTCGAAGTTGAGCGAGAGACTACGGTGGTATTGACGGACTAACATAGGCAGCAGGCCTGACCTTATTGCCTTCATTACGCAGGTATCCAGAGCGACAATGTTAGGGTAAACAAACAATCGTCAGTTTTTTTTTATGTTTTTGTTTTAAAAGCTAACGGTTTCCCTAAATACCACTATACTCGTTTTCACCTCAAATACTGTAGTAAAATAAAAAAAAAAAGTTTGGCTTTTTGTGACGCATTACTAATTTCCTCGTTTATGCAGAGAATTAAAGATATTGTCGTGCGTTTTATATTCCCTATGTGTTATCTCATGAAGACGTACACGTTTCAAACGCCAAAAGCGCCGCCTCTTTTTCTGACAACCAAATCTTGTAAAAAAACTACTTCTCTCCGCGTACAAATAAAGCAACCAACTTTTTCTTCTTTTTTTTTTTTAGATGGAAACGAGTATAGTGTGGCGGAAATTCCAGCGTTTAGAACATCAACTTCGGCTCTAAAGTTTGGTGCCTACCAATAATTAGTTTGAGAGAAATGCAGAAAAGCGCGGATAAAAAGACAGTCAGTGAACACGAGTCACCGCAATATATCCGTGGTTCGAATGCCGCGTGCATAGTTTCCTCCTTGAACTCATTGCCGTGCAGCATTCGAAGCAAGGTTCTAACGGCGACTCACTTTTGAATATGTATGCAGACTGATTTGTTTTTTGTTTTTTGTTTTTTTATTAGTGTATAACCAGTGTGGGCCCGGCTTAATTAAGGGTGTCTCATGTCCCCGCAGTGGAAGAAAAAATTTGCCAGTGCAGTACTGCCCGGGTTTTTTTTTAACGTGCACCACGCATCAGTAGTACACAACTGCATACCAGTATAAGATGCTCTTGCTTCCGAAAGATGTCCTCGAGAATAGCACCGCTCCAACGGTAACGAACTATCGGATCGACATTGAGTGATAGTCTAGACTAGAACATAGGCCAAGACTGGCATTCAAAGCATTGCAGGTAATCGATGTCGAAATGTCCCCAAAAAAAAAAAAAAAAAAAAACAAGTGTTGACGTGGTAAGAAAAAGCGTTAAACTGCAATTTTAAAACAAAAACAAAAATGTGTGCAGCAATTGGAATAAAGGCCAAACCGTATGTAAGCGATTTAGCGCGCGACGAGACGAGCGACGGCGACAGCGACGGGAGTCAGCGACGATCGAGCGACGGAGATTTGTCACTGCCGCCCGTCGCGTCGATCGGTTTCTGGATTTCTAGAAAACGTCCCTTATCGCCTTGGTCGCTTGCTCCCGTCGCTCTCATGTGGTTTGATTCGTCGCGCGACTGACCGAGCGACAGCGAAGCGGGTCGCCGTCGCTTGTCTCGTCGCTTGCCAAATCGGTTGCATGCGGTTTCTACTTCAACCGCTCGAGCAGTATCCGAAGAGCGAACCAGTTACGAAATCATCTCTATAGTGCAAAGGCCGTCCACCTCTGGGCGTTGGAACGTGGGTAAAAGACGGGGACAGGAAAGGCATAAAGACCGGCGGGCCTAAAAATATTGCGCTCGGATCATGGCGGGCCAGCCACCGATACGCTCGAAAACATTCCAAAGCCCAGACAGCTAGGATGGGGATGGAGAGGTGTCGAAACCCGAGCTCAGCCTCCCAACGGCGCCGCCGCCGCCGCCGGAGGCAGACACGGTAACTGGAAACGAGGCGACTCGGGTCTCCTCACAGCAGCAGCCTGCAGTGTCCTACACCGGCGCGGCGCAGGTAAGCAGAGAAGGCCGCCGACCGGCCTTCACACCCGCGCAACTGCCTTGACCTCGGCGCCCCCTCGCAGCGGCACGACCGATCCGCTTCCTTTCCCACGGGAAGTACGACACCGCTGTTTGGGACAGAGCTCCGCATTCTAATCGCTCAGGTCGGCGAGCAGTCCCCACTAGAGTGAGATTTCGGAGTGATTCCAACTGCACGAACAGGGTCACGTGGTCTATGGGGACATGTTTGCAGTACGAGCGGCGAGGAGGTGAGAAAAGCGTGGACAAGTCTCAGCGCCCAACGCCACCTAGAATAATCAAAGCCCGAGCACTGGAGTTTCGACGTTCAGTGAGATGGAGCGCAGACACAGTTTGATGGCGAGGGCTGCCCCTTACAAAAAACAGGTCTCACGATTATTTTTCAATTTGTTTGGACTTCTTAGTGACTTTCTGGGATCCTACTGAATTTCTTTATAAACGCACTTTGTGTTGATTATTGTCAAAAACCTTTCAAAAGAAAAAGAATAATAAAATTTTGCAAACTTATTTATAAAAAGAAATCAAAAGTAGTTATCACGTTTTTATGTGGGTTATTTAAAAAAAAGCGTATAAAAGCAACTAATGATGCGTTTTGTTTAAATATGAGAAATTAGACAGAAATTATTGATATTAGTTTTATACTATTTTATAACAAGAAAAAATATTATTTTTATTATTTTATTGGTTATTCAGGACATATTTTTATTTATCATTTGGAAGAGTGTTTTGAAGAGTAACAGCTCGCATTTTTTGAAAATATTGAAAGGCAAAAGACATTTTCTACAGATTTTTTTCTGTTGGCATATTTGTAAGAAATCTAAAAATGATCGTATGTTGCTTTGCACTTCTGTTTCTTTCATTCCAAGATTCCTGTTGTTTTTTTTTATTTTTTTTTTAATTAGAGGAAGAAGCCAAATTAAGAGGGAACTTTTCCATTCCCTTTCCTATTTGTATTTAATAAAACATTCTGAAAACAATTCACTCCTAACATACGTTGAAGAATGGCTTGAACTCGACATCTGTCTATAGCAAAATTCTTATTTTTATGGGAGTGTATAGCGTTATGGGGGTCGGACGTAACAAAAATAATATTGAAGTTACTTCCGACGTAACATAAAAGTTCGCTCTGCCTAGCGTTACGTCCGGACGGACAGCTGAAACGCGTTAACCTAATCTCCCTCTCTTTCTCGCTCATAAACACTGAAAAGCGATAAAACTTCTTCTAGAAGCTGTTTTTCTGGATGCTGATTTAGCGACTGCACCGAATTATTATTAGCTGCCCCAAATGCATTTTACAGTAAGAGATACGAACTTCGAAACACTGTTCTTTCCTTAACAGATTCCCGAGAAGAAGATCGAACACTTGGAACCTTAATAAGTGCTGAGGTGGTCACCGGCCAAATGATTCCCTTCAATATGTAGGCTATATAAGGCTCTGGAGCAGTTCACGGGACCGTGATTCTAGTGTTGAGTGCTTCATAGTGTTTGTGTTTGTGTTCGTTTCTAATGTGTATTTATGTGATGTGTATAGCGCGTTCAAATACCACAGGAACACTATTTCCTAACAAAATCCAAAATACAAACTAAAAAATAATTGAGTGTCTATTTTTTTTTGTACGTTATTCGGCGGTTCCTTTGAAGAAAATTCAACAAAATTGCTGTTATTCTAAAAGGAATTCAGTGGCCAATTTTAACCAGAAATTAAGTAAGTTGTCGGAATAAACTCTGGGAAACCTAAAAAAAAAAGATTCCAGAAATTTTTTTTAACAGAAGTTCACAAGAATTTAAACACAGATTTTTGTAAGGGGCGTCAGCGTTACCTCGGGCCTTGTGTCCACTCAATGCGTCGAAAGGAAAGCTCGGCGTCCTGAGCTCGAACCCAATCGCTTAGTGGGCGCCATCTGAGTGCTTTGACGCCACGTGGAGGTAGAAGAGGATGTTCAGCGGCTTCGATTTGCACCGCATCTCCGCCATGCTGTCCTCCTCACCACGCCGCGAGGACGCAACGCACGCGCGACCAAACCACGGCGTCCACCATGAAATTGCAAACGCTCCCCGAGGTTTGAGTTGCTCGCTCCGTTAAATCTAGTCTCTCTAGTCGCTCCTACGCTCCGTTTCAACCTTACGTAGGACCGCTGCGGACGGTACCATGCCACCCCAGCCCATCCAGCGCGGCGGAAACGTCACGTGACTATATATGCGCCCTGGGAGTCGCTGGCTGTGCTTGAACCGAAGATCACGTGACACTCAGACGGCACTGGATTGGCCTGGACGGCTCGCAGCGTCCGCCGCGGTCCATCGATCGGCAAAGAGACCGGAAAGACTGCCGCGGCAGAAAGGTTCAGCGCGAAAACGGTCGGCGGCTACTATTAGAGCGGTGCGACGGATTAGACTACGGCTAACCGGTTCGAGATAAATGGGGCTCATTATTGTCAGCGCCCAGCCAAGGGCGAATGGTAAACGCTAAATTGTAGAGTGTATATAATAAACACGACGGCGGCGCGTTCAGCGGTCTCGGCGGTTCTTGGCATGACGGCGTAACGCGACTAATTACCGACTAGCTGCGAATAGGATCTCGCATCGTTAACGGATAACCTTTGGCGGCTAACGGCGCGCGGGCGAAAAGCCCGAGCGAGGAGACTGGTTTCTGGTTTCCTTCTATGCTCCGTTCACCCCTAGGCTGGAAGTACGCGCTGGAAGCTGTAGTCGGACCAATCAACCGCTTTCATTCCATCACCCGACCTCTCTGTGCGAAGG